GCCAATCGAAACTGAGCATTTTCCCCTTCTCGATCTGTAGGTGGAAATTTTCGCTAACGATCTTCCTCTCAGCCATTTGTTTGTGAATGTTGCTTTTGTTGTTGTAATTGTTGTTGGTGTTGCTGTTCTCTCTGCTACTACCGCCGCCGCTGCTGCTGGTGCTGCTGTGGCAGCGAGGTCTGCTAGTGGCAGTGAAAATGTGTCTTCTGTTTTAGTCACGTAGGTTTCCTGTGCATTTAGTGCATTTTGCTCTTCCATCCCACGTGGACAACAAAGCTTGGTGGGTGGCATACACACGCACCCGTCTACACTTTCGTGAATAGGTTGGGTGGGTTGTTGATTGTCTGATGAATCGGTTCGTTAGTTTGTTGGAAGGCTGGTTTGTTGACTTGAATGGTCGATCACGAAGCTCGTGTGACGGCAACCGGAGATGGAGTTGAGTTCGCGTGGGTACTCACTGGGGAGACTGTCGAGTAAGTGGACAGACGAGCATGCCACGGAACGGCACGGCACGGAACGGACCGCACTCACGTAAGGGAGACATGCGGTAGAGTCTGCGAGCGCACCCCGTTCTCATCTGTTCACCCCGATTGGAAGCTTTTAGCGTACGCGCACGCGCTCATCCACGCACTCATCTCACCCATGTGTCCGACTGAGAAAGAGCTCTAGCAATCAACAATCGTCCGCTGGACACGGAATTCATGTGTGTGCTGCTCGACGCCGTGCACTTGGTCAAACCATACGTAGCAAGGAGGGAGAAATTGCTTTCACAAGGACGATGACGACTACGAGGAGGAAGAGAAGAAGATAACGAAGAGTACCACAACCACCACCACCACCATTACCACCTTTCACGAATTCAATGTTATGTATCCTGGACGACCATAGCGACAGTATTCACAACGTGCCTCACATGTGATTGCGTGTGTGTAAGTGAGTATGGAATGGAACATGAGGTCGTAGCAGCGGACAGGCAGGCAGGCACGCAGGCAGGCCGTAAGAAAGAAAGACAGACACATGATTGCCGATTCTGTTTCAATTTTTGAGACCACCAGTGCTCTTCGCATGGCCGAACCCCCACGCCCTCCCACCAGGCAGCTGTTTTCGTAGAAAACCAAATGCCACATGCTTCAGGTTGGAATTGTGTGAAGCACGGGCTGAACGAAGCTAACACTAATAAGTTTGTCCACTTTGCCAGTTGAGTGGATTCATCATAACACTTTGTGTTTCAACTCGTGGATGTGTGAGGGGGTCAGTCCCCATGGCAACCGGGTTACATTCTCCAATTAATGTGAATTTTCGCTATACCATGAGCGATTTGGATCTAGTTACAACTGCACGTCCACCTAAATCGGATGAATTAGTTCATCCAATGGAACAGAGAAGGTACGTTCTGGAAGCAGAAAGTTCCATGGGTGAATTGGACTCACCGGAGACTACTAGCTCATTTGGTCTCCACTCTCAATCACCGGACTCGCAAAATTTGTTGAGTCATCATAACACTACTGGCACATCTGTCGCTTCTTGTGTAACGTCTTCCACTTATGCAACACCGGGTTTGTCATCCTCCCATTCAATTCCCCTCGATTATGATATGATTATTGGTACTCACGATCCTGCATCGATCACGCATTCAAGCAGCAGTGTGAATCACCCGGCTTATCATCCTTTGCAATTGGAGGAACCCTCTTCAACCACCACTGATGAGATATTCCCCGACAGTGGCTTTGAAGCTAACCCAAATCAGTTTGATAGTTGTAAATCTGCCTCCCAACTTGGTTCAGATGCGTTACATTCTTCAAATTACTCAATCCAAGCCTCTCCTTGTGCGGGCAGTCGCGAGGTGACTAACACGAACCTATCGGTCTACGAATCGCTGCCATCTGTGCCATGGTCGTGTCATCGCGGGGATCAGGTACCGCGTATGGATAATGATCTTTCACCTGGATGTAACGAGTCGTTGGAAGAAGATTGTGTCCAAGTGTCTTACACAGCCAGCAATGAAACGACAGGACCAAATCTTAGTAAGTGTTCGTCGTGTGCCGCAATGGGTAGATTGCCTGTGGCCCACAGATATTTATTCACAAAAATAAAGCATTCTACAACTTTTAAAGTTGGACTGTCTTTGATTTCCCTGAGATTCATTCATTCTTTGCCGACTGGACGTCGCTTTATTCGTTACCATCCAAGAGAAGCAATTTCTCTAACATGTTTTACTGAACATCTAATACCAATGGTATTGTGGATGTTTATTCAGATGTCTCGTAATAGTCCTGAGTTAGAGAGCTCTCAAGCCCTAAACAGTTATTCCAACCTTGTTGAACCTCATCAGTAGTGAGAACCCATAGACTCAACTCTGGATCGAACCCGGGATATCACTTCCCCTCGGAAAGTAGTTCCTAAGCGAATGGGAAGATGGTTAAACACTTTCAGTGGACGTAAGAATAGTTTATGGTTTATTTTTTGGAAGACTAGGGGGGAGGGGCTGCTGAGGTCAAGGAGACTCCATAATGTGTGAATAAAGGATATGCAATGGGGAAAAGAATGAGAGGTAGTTTTATCACCGGTTTGGATGCGACCATTGTGAAATTTTTGTTACAGCTTTGGAATTTAGAGTAGACATCAATTCTGAAGGGTAGCACAGCGAATACTGAGTGAAAGTGTTTGTTTTTACAGTCCGCTATTCACTAGGAATCGTGGTCAAAGAATAACCTGGAGCGCTATCAGTTACTAATGCATTGATTGAGTAGCAGATTACTAACAGAATTAAAAACAAATCAGCAGAATATTTCGTTTGAAGATAGCCACTGGATCCACGGCCAAATAGTTCCGATGTTTAGGTGGAGCTTCAAGAAAACATGATAACCTTAATTACTTCGATTTGCAGAAGGAGAGATTCCTCATATATATATAAGCCACGTGATCTTGTGTTAGCATCAGAGAATAAGTGATAAATTTCGATTCACATTGTTCAGTTCTAATTTAGCTTCCAATAGCCGATTTATCATGGTGCACACGATAAAAAATTAATGCAAAACATTTTCCCTTCGTTCATTTCGGAAAGCAAATGGATCAAGCAGTAACGATGAATAAAAGGATGGTAGTGAACGATTTAGAGTGCATTCACTCACCTGCCACATCATAGTACGTGTAATTACGTAATCATTAGGTACGTTAAACATTAGTTTGGTATGCGGAAGCATAAGTTAGACATTTTCAATGAGATTAAAGCCAAAGGGGATCACTGAGTAAAGCAATTGAATAATCTCATCCCGAAGTTTATTAGTAGTTTGAAAATAAATCTAGGGATAAATAAGCGCGGAATTTGCAATGGGGAAAAACAGGGCTACATGGGACCAAGGAATGAGGCCTATGAGAGTTGACCAACATCTATGCTACCAGAGGAACAGGAGTTGGGGCGCAAACATCTTCCGGATGGATAATGTTTGTTTTAGTTCGTTTTTGATTTCGGCCTCTCAGAGTCTTAATGTCGAGCAAAAGGAGTAATGCGATAACTCAAAATAGTCCAACTGAATTGTGTTCTTGTGTCCTACCGATTCCAGATTCGTGACCCTCACTTGAGCCGATAGATTTAACAACGTCAGCACAGCTGCACGGTGCTTTCGAGCTTTTCAGTGTGTCTTTTGCACTCCGTACATGGCGGAGTTATCCATGCAACTCGACATATGTCTGTTGAGTTCATTTTATGGTGATTGGAGTCTAATCAGTGCTGATTAAGAGTACCCCGAAAATCAAAGAATATTTCCATTCTGCGGAAATTCCACTTATTGCTGGTTAGGAGAGGTTCATCTTGAACTGCTGGAACCGGTTAGAAACGAGCTTTTTATCCCAATCTTCTTCGCACTCTTTCGAAAGGTATGATCTATATGGTAATTTCTAGAGAAGTGCTTTTTTTCTCCGCATTGACGACAATGGCCAAAGGGTATCATGCTCTCTGATTGGGGATGGTGTGTTGAAAACCCAGCACCGTTGTCCACCTTGTGTCACTCTATTCTATTCTATTTATGCTATCCTATAACTCCCTAAACTGTGACCGCTTCTCCCTCCCGAATACTGATGGTACATTTTCCCCTCAAAACATACCAGACCATCTACCAGTGTGTCCTCCTTGAATAAGATGAACAGGATGCGGACAATATTATCTGTTTCTGAAAAACAATTTGTCAGTCGGCATATGAAAAGTGCTTTATTCTCACTTACAAGAGAGTTAAATGGTAACACTACCGCATAGAATTTATCAAATTAGGATGAATCAGACCATTTTCCATTCTACTCTATTGCTTTCAAGCCTTTTGAAACAAGACTTCAGAACCCTTCGTCGTGGTTTAGGGATAACCAGCCGTGTACCATTGATCTCCGTGAATTCATTTATCACAGCACTCATTATTTGTCACATCACCTCTTGTATTAAACTCGCCAATAAAAATCTAGATGATCCTTTTCATCCACTGCATCCCTTTCTATTATTATTCTGTCATTTCCATCCATCCATCCAAAGGCTCCTCTTTTTGGCACCTAACCTCTCGTGCTAACATTGATTAGAATTCCCCTATACCTCAACTGACACGACTCGTAACCAATAAGGAACAATTCACAAGTGATTAGCGCTGGAATTGGTTTACACAAAACTAATTTCAGCGGCATTCTTCACTTTGTAAGTAATATGAAAATGTGTATTTCAGTTGATGCGACCGCTAGGGTACATTTTTTGCATTTATCGAAACACGCTTGAGTGCATGTGCACAAACGCTACTAACCAATTTCAGATCTCATTTTCTAACTTCAAGTGTTGTGCGACTTTATGTTCCGATTCAATCCATCGCTCCGTCTTGGAGCTGATGAGGATTTGGAATTGTCTGCTGTTGTCCTGCTGCGGCACTCGTTCTATTGTGATTTGTTTTTCGTGTCCATTTTAGCTGAACTCTAGAGGCCATAGTTTAGGCTGTAGTTACCACTTCGTAAGAACGATGGAAGCTCCTGTCTTTCGGGGCTATGCCACAGACGTAATGAGGATAATGTTTTGTTGTATTGACTATCCAGCAACAAGATCGATTAGATTTTATTGTTCTTTTTTTAAATCCTCAATCTTTGGTTACTACTACCACCACCACCACCACCACCAAAATAATAATAATATTATTTAGTATTTGTTTCGTTTTATTGATGAGTAATTGAAAAATATTTTTCAAGTGGTGGTTTGGGACTGTAAGGGTGGTCTTGGGAATTCGACTGTGAACCCAGGACTGATGAGGTGGAGTGACAGTAGTTGAAATCTCACAAACATACAAGCAAACAAGCAAACTAATGAGTTTCTCGTGAGTGAAGATTTGTATTCCAGTTAGTTTTGTAAATGCGATTTTGGCGCGAGGTCTGTATGCAGTTGTGCAATATCAGTTTGAGCGTTGTCACAAGGAGCGCTGCGTGCATTCTTTTCACGTTTATTTCTGGTTTGTGCCAATACAGTATGTACTGGGACTCAACCAAAGAGTGCTCATTCTTGTAACTTCATTGCTCCACAAACATGTGCCTGCGAAGGGATGCGCATAATCTTCACACCTAAGCGATGCATTGCCTTCTGCGGACTACAGAAATGTGCAATCGTTGCTCCTGACAGAAAAGCAAATGACCCAATGATGATGATGGTGGTGGTGCTGTAGGTGCTTGTGTTGGTGTTGGTTTGGAAACAACATACTCAGAGTGAACTATGTTTACTGTTACATGAGAGAAATTGTAGATTTCCAACAGAAGCTGCGGCTGAGTTGCGTATGGTGCGATGTCTGCATTATTCTCGCAAAGATGAGTAGTGGTATATCACGTATAACTAAAATGAAAACGGTCTGCTCAGCTGCCTGTAGTTCGAGTTGGTAATTTGTTTGCGTTCTCCGTGTGACGTCCAGGTTTCGCTCTCCATTTGGGTCAACGGATACGTATTGCTGATTAGANAAACAGCTGTGCAGGGCTTCTTAACTTTGCAATTCCTATCTAAACGACGGAATTCTTCACATGTTTACTGTGCTAGCTCGTATAAAAAAATAGTTGATAGTTGTCTGACCGTGAATTGCAACCACGTGTTATCACTGTTGGAGAAGTGAACTACTCAATATTGACTTAATGCATACTGGTGGGAATCACACATACAAAGTCCTAGTTGTAGCAGTGATCATCGGCTTGATCGGTCATTGATGTGTAATGGGTACCTTAGACGTTTGACCCCGTCCAAAGGGCGTACGATCCGATCAACTGGACAACGGCCCCCAATGGATTGCGGTTTTCGCACACCGCCGCNCTGCCTTGTGGGTCAGGCTTTGGCTGGCCAAAGGCCCCGGTTGTGGATTCCTCAAGAAGTTCACCCACCTTGGGCTGGGCATCTTGGCAGTGTTCCGTCTACATGCAAATCATGGAACGTTTTTTTCACGAAGATTATTTTATCATGATTTGTTTGGCACACAGACTGGATTCTGACGTGTGTGAATATATATATATATATATATATATTGGTAGGAATGGATTCCTCCTTGAACGTTGTAGTGCACAATCGCTCCGCATTTTTCTCTTCCTAGTTTTTGTTGTTCTGTGTAGCAGGAAACAAACTTTATCAAGCAGAATTCTGGTAACTCTTCATTTGAGGTGTAACTGCCAGGTAACCAATGCACTACCCCATCACTCTTTATCACATGCATATAAATAAATCCTAATTCGTAGCTTAAACACCAATAAATGCAAAGCGAAATGACTAAAGTGATAATTTCACAATGTTTTCAAGCACCACAAAGGTTTATCTTTCAGATGGTAAATGAGTCCAGATATACTCGCACAAAATAGTGTTCCACATCGATGGGACAATGGACAAACTGTAACAAATTGGTTGTGGGGTTTTGTTCAGGGCTGTAATAAAGCTTCACAATAATTTAACTGAAGTGTATGCATCCGCCCGTTGTTGAACGTTTTATAACCGAACAAAATAGCCATTTGAGAACCGATCACGTACAACTCCATGAATTCTATTAACGTTTTTCTGCACTGTAAGAAATAAATAAACAACAAAACAAATAAATAAGTGTTTGCATCCTTTTTTCGTTTATGTAGTATGCAAATGAACAGTCAATTTTCAGGAAGGGGTCCATGGGCATGCAGACACTGTTTGGAAAAATAAAAAAGATGGGTGCGAACTAAAGACATTCATTCCACTACGTTGATGACCAGGATCAATGTTTGAATAAGATTATGGTGAATTTTGTCTTTCGGCTTGGTGAACATATCACACTGGTCTGGTTGATTTTATTGTGTGCAAACATATCGACGCATGTGAAAGAATAGCTGACCGATTCTTAAAAAACGAAGACAACTGCTTGCACAAAGAACTTACTAAATCCATGTCAAACCCCCGTACCCACTCTCATTATAGGCTGCTTCCCGCACGCACCGCGGCATACAGAAACAGCATCCTCCCTTTTCGTGCTCGCTTTCTGGTAAATTGGGCACCTATTGTTACAGGTTTGGTTGAACACCTCATGAGTTAGGTTATTCATTCGTTTTTTATCCGTCACTATTGTCTTCCTGTGTTCATTTTTCTGTCGTTTTTTATTTTTAAATTAACCTATCCACACTCGGAGGCCATATCGTGAAAAATCGCTGAAAATTCACCGTACGGGTGCATAAAGCTTACTTTGACTTGACACTTACTAAATGAAAGTATCTCGATCAACATTTATTGCTTGCACCCAAAGCGATCCTATTATTCCATTTCTTTCTTTTCTCGTTCGTAATTGAATATGTGTGATGATTAGTGTTGTATATCGGATTATTTGTCCACAAGAAAAGAACTTCGTAATATCAAATTGCTGGCAGCACTATTATTCAATCATTCCATTCAAACTGGATTCATGTCAACTCTTCGCTCTTCGCCGTCTCAGTTTCACATTGGATCACTAATCGTCTAGTTCACTCAGAAAACTAAACTTCAGAGAAATTCTCATTTTGTTTATACAGCTTACGGGCGACAGGCGCTTTGTCAACGCACCTCGGGAATGCACCAGTCATGTGGACCGAACCCAAGTGTCGCCGAGAACATTCCTGTCTCATTCGGGTCGAACTCTGTTTGGGCTCCCTTGTTATCAAGCCAAGTGAAGAATGCATCCGAACACTCACCATCTCCCCCAGTCTCAGGAATATCCCAGTCCAGGACACAGTCGATGAACTGTGTTCCCGGAACTGGACTGGTCATCGGTATCCCCATCTCGACAGATTCATCCGGTCATTCGAAGAAGCGTGCCAATTCCGGCGGCCCGGATGAAGGTCCTTCACATAAGTCGGTAATGAATCATGACCGCCTGTATATGTGGATTTTAAGTCTCCGTTAATGTACTGTTTGCTAACAAGATACTTCTATATATGCTCCAAAATTTCGGCTCCAATAATCAACGAGAAATTTAAGAAAAACTACCAACCTCTTTTCGGGCTTAGAACTGTTTTAAGTTTTGATTACTGTTTCAGATTAGCTTCGGGGACTCATGCACAGATCAAATAGTGGGTTCATTTCTTGGAAAACGTGTTTCTTTCGACCAATGATAGTTTTGGGGTGTATGAGTTTGAGGATTATTTTGAACACGCATGAAAGATCAAATCACAATCCTAAGAGTTATCGTCTATTGTCAGAATACATACTAACATGTGGATGGTGGAAAAACCAGTGCACATCCAGTGTTTGACTTGAAAGTACTCATCGATCCCGGTTCACATCAGCACGATTAATTATGAGCGTGAGTGATGTTCAGTTGCACCACTCTGGCGGATACCTAGGTCCCGTGAAAAACAGAATCCTCGAGATTGGCAGTTATGCTTTAATGACATGCGGGTTATGATGATCAAGAAAGAGGATTTAGATGAGGATTTAGAGGATCATCAAAATCATGAGTCTTCTTACTTCCAATAAGAAATGCAATTGAACCGTGTTTTTCCACTCGGATACATTCATATTTGTTTTCTGTATTATGATAGATGCTAAAGCTTATCCGAGCCTTCGCGAAGTAAATATGACTTTTCGCTAGTTGGATCTGCGATACCGGTGATCTATGGAGCACATGGTGTCTTTGCAATCATGATCTTTCTTTCTGGCTCTGAAAACTGGCCAGGCTGCGGCAAAGTAGATCATCCAATTTGTATCACGTGTGCCAACTGGTGGACCCAAGAGAGTCACATTGTCACCTCTGCTTCATCCCAAGGGCCATATATGGTAATTAACGGAAGTCACTTAAAGAAATCAGCCAAGTGATGTTTAAATTACCTAAACTTGGAGATATGCATTGTGGATATAAACAAATCAGCAACTAGTCAGAATCATGAACACATAGTAACGAATTTGGTTAATAGGAACATTTGTTGGCAGCAACTTCGATTAGTGTATACTATTAGCAACAAATATATTGTACAAAACTTCAACAATTCAACTATTCAATCATGTTTGATGTTTTTGATTCTGAGTCTTAGGTTGAAATTAACCTTTGCCTCGTGAAAATATTTATGAAATTCTGCTGAACAAAGAAGAAGTTAGGTGTAGTCCTCAAGGAAAATGTTGAGAAGTTATCGAACCTCTCAGCAAAGTGTCTGAGAAGATCAAATGTCACCAATTTAATATACTGTTTTAACTGTAGACTCTAACTGTTTATCTAATCACTCTTCTTTCTACCTTGGCGACATCAAAGAGGAATGGTACTGAAAATAGTGCACAACGGTGATCCAGAGGAGAAGATTCAAAAACAGTTTCAAGAACTTCTTGGAACAAATTTTCCAGATATCTTCCCAATTGATAAAGCTGAGCACAGCATTATTTTTGACAGCGGTGTCCAGATCTTGCCCACCTGGGAAAATTAAGTAAATTTCATTTCAGAATTTTGTTATACATGAACTCAGTTTTGGAGGAAATTAGCTTGTCTTACCCACGGCGAATAAAAACCAAGACACAAAGGCGTTGGTGACAACGTTTTATTCCATTTGGTAGAGAAATGAATCAGTCTTTTATGTGTAAATTAAGCGAAATTGGTGCTGACATTCAGAACAAAATTTGGGTTACAAAATTATTTTTCACTGTCTACTTCGTTTCCATGTTTTGGTGACGCAAATTTACCCGGGTAAAATTCAAGAGATTCCGCTGTTTGTCCATGAATGACAATATTTGTAATGCGGGTGGATCATAAGTAGGCTTGCAGCGAGGCAAACGCAGCAAATGAAAAAAAAATGGAAGCTGTAAGTCACTTGACTGACGCATGACGTTCGTACGGGAAAAGTCAACTGATGTTTGTTTGCTCAAGATATTTATAAAGACCACGCGACATATGGCTTGCTGTGAAGGCTGCAGCATTTCGGTCCGTACTGATTGGTAGTGATGATCTCATTCTTTAACCTCGTTTTTTCATTTGTTGAATAAACTGTTGTACAATCCTTTCTCAGGAAGACAGTGGTTGTCAATATCAGGTTACCTGAGGATATACGGAAACGTCAAAGGTGGGTGGCGTTGATCGAATCCGATGATGATGACGATAATGATGATGACGATGATGATGACGATGATGATAATCGTAAACACTTGACCAACACTGCAGTGATTCAGGTAATGGAGAAGCAGAATGAACGCGCAATATAGGTTTCGGAAGACCACTGCTTGCATTGCAGTGCATGGGTCTGATTGATCAATTGGACAAGGAATATCGAGATTAGAGACAGATTTTCGGGTGTTTGCCGTTGTTCTCTAAGTTATGATGATTGGGGTGTATTTAACGCAAGTCCTCTGATAGACTTCCTCTGTTTGCGATGTTTTCTAAGGCAGGTAATGGTTGGAAAAAGATCAGAGGTAATCAAAATAAGATGTGGCCAGGAATGGAAAACCTTTATCAGGGAACTTAGTTATATTGACCTGTTTAAACTTCACAGTTTTGTACCTCAGTATTAGTCAGATCGATCGATCGAGAGACTTAATTATACGGCTGTGTTGTAAAGGACTGCTGCATCTACGTAATGGTTTTGCAAATCCAGTTGAACTGACCTTGATACCGTTTGCGTCCTTCAACCTCTTCTGATCACCTTTTCATCATTGCTCGACCGATACAGCCCCCTTGAAATGTAACAATTAAAACCGCCACATAATGAATAATCGTTGTATGAACCAAAAAATGATGACATCATTTCAATACTTTTGGAGCGTTAAAATAAAGCGCTATGAGTAGAAACATTGAGGGTGTTCGAGGCAAGTGGAGAATCGAACGAAGAACCCATTCCATTCAGGTATTACCAAGGAAGCTCAGGGATGAAATGATTTAGTAGTTGATGCTGTGTGATTGAAAGTTATTCCAAAAAACCAAATGAACTGTCTACAAGCAGCCCTAAGATAGAAAAATATTCGCATTAGGTAGACACCGTATAACAACCAATGAGGGGCAGGTGTTGTGAGGAGTCAATTAACATATTATAGGAGACACTGATGATTACAAACAAATGCATCCCTAATCATAGGAATTGTTCATCCATTAAGTGTCCATCCTCTGTGAAAACGCTCCAGTCAACTGGAATTCGTGTTCTGAAGACATTAATCTCTACTGAGAAAGGAAAGTCTCAAAAGGCCAATTATTTTCGACCAGCAATGTACCCGTGGTATTGCAAATGTCTCATGGCATAAACTAACAAGCCGGAGTTCCTGTTACGGCACTGATTCACAGATTTATTCTCCATAAGCTGAGATGGTTCCGATAGGTTTTCCGAGATACTTGTAGGACATCCTCGGCGGGCGGCACTCCTTGAGGCATTTAGTGGTTGATGAAGGGTGGCGGTAATCAGGTCTTGACACAAACATGAAACATTGAATGGATTACACTCGAAAGGACCGGTAAACTGCCTGGCTGGGATCCTTGATATCGACACCATTTACACATATGTATACTTTGGAACTTTATTCTGGGTCTACCTACCTTAAGTAGTGTTTCTTTGACTTTAATTGTAACTCTCTGACGAGCAACATGCTCTTCTATCCGAAATTGGCACAGAAAATTATCACAGCCGTTTCACATTAGCTGAGAAATAATCTATTCCTTGGTAGTTCGTATCATTCTACGGGGTCTGATTTCCTCGTTTTCGCTTCTCAAATGAACCGACATGGGAAATCTTGTATCCCGTACAACGGATGAATTTGAGTGCAGTTTTGTCAGCGATTTGCGCTTTTTGGATAGCTTATTCTTTTAGCATATTTTGTGCATTGAGTTTTAAAAATTCCTCGCTGGTAGGCGCCTGAAGGTGCTTTAGGATGAATAGTGCATTTTTGTGAGCCAAACTGATAATATTTCAGGGATATAAGATAGTGATCAGCGCTTCCCTGCTGAATACGCTTCCCGAAATGGGCAACACAATACTCCGGACGATGACCGGAGTGCAATTACGGAACCATTACCTCGAAACCTTTTTTACGCGCCGTACAAAATCAAAATCCACAATACAAACTAATATGTTTATGAGAAGGTTTGATCGAGATTATTACAACAATCCTTAGATGCCATACTAGTTTTGAAGCATTTCACAAGTGACTTTAAAATTGTGACAAGTCGGAGCATGGGCTGAATTGTTTTTCTGCAACATCCCTCACTGATTCTTTCAGCATAAACGTTCATCTCGATAGACTTGTGGTCTCATTTATGCATGGATTGCTGGACAACTTCCGGTATGAAATCACTCCATCTCGCTCTGTCTCCGCTTCCCACCCCCACCCCTCAACACTCACTCACTTCACTCACTTCACTCACTTCTCACTCACTCACTTCTTTCTTGCACCGTCTCATTCCACCACCCATATCCTATTCGGATGGGGTTAGCAACACGGTCCATCTGATGAGCACGATAGCAACGGATGTTGTTCAAGTGATGTGCGCACGAACCAACACGGAAGGAAAGACTGAGAACAAGAGCAGAGCTTTAAGGGATTTTCTGCATTCACCTGTAATTGTGGAATTCTCCTATCCCCAGGAGTAGTAGGAAGATAAAGTGGCAGTCACGGAGTGGTGGACTGCAAGGCCCAAGTGCTGCAATCTGAATCCGGAGAGTAGTTGGGGTGGGGTGTGTGGTGAATTCACCGAGACACATCATCCCATGTTAGCTCGTGGTTGCTACCCCTAGATTGTTCCTTATGCTCTTGGAAACGAAGTCCTCCTGCATGTGCGTACCCGATAAAGAGGGGAGATGGATCGAAAACTAACTGTTGTTTCAGGGAGGATGGGATGACACATAAATGCAAGATACTTGCGAAAGGTTAATGTAACTCAAAAAGCGGAAAGCACATGGGAGGGAACGGATATTATGAAAATAATCGTAGTCACGAATCCTGAATAAATTCGTTTGGAACTTGAGTGGTCATCGTGGAAAATTTGAGAAAGATAATGGATTTCGTTCGTGATGGAATAACTTATTTGTGTGCAGGTTCGTAAGTTATATAATAAAAGCCTGGTTTAGATTATTTTTCTCTTTTTTCTTTTTTGGCTCGAGGTTTTCTTATATAGCGTAAGCAACACTGCTACAGCATCAAGAAAATCTGATCATTTCTGGTGCCCTTTTAAATATTAACTCTGGGATAAAAGGAGGAAAGGAGGAACTTGATCCAATAAAATCAATTATTCCTTGATTTTCTTGTCCTTCAGTGTTTATTTTATCTATACAAGTTCATGATGTCCCTATGTAGGAAATTTAGCTTTCGGTTTTCGGGACTGATTTCTTAGCATTTTAAAATGTTATCTCGAACCGGTCTCAGTCAAGTTACCAAAACGATCAATTCACCGGGCTACGGTTTACCATTATTAGCTTCTGATGTAAGAAAAGCGAATGGAACAGAACGGTATTAGAGTGCTCGGAGCCTATTGACAGGCGTACAATACAATCAACAATACTTTTTGATCTGACTCACTTAGAGTGGAATGATCAAGTTTGTACACTGAGACGAAACGACCACAGGTGGTGGCTAGTCCAAATTTCTTAACCAATTTGGAAGAATTGGGGGTTTTGTCTACAGCTCGAAGGGAAACGGTGAAAATATGTAATAGTGCACTCGTCATCCGGAATCTGCATACTACACGCAGCACCGAAAAGCGTAACTCAACGTCATTTGAACCAACCGATAGTGTATAACCACGGAAGCCACGCGTGCTAGCGCACGAGGGTATCGCAAATCCAACCTACGAAGCACTCAGTTCACCCGTAATGTGCATATCTTTTTATTTGTTTGAACAAAAGAACTACTGGATCGAAACAATAATGCAGTTTTTGCAGTCGGTTTTAGGAGAATTAGCAGCCTCATACCAGGAGTGATAAAATGTGTAAACTTTTACTGCAGAAGAAGAAATGCAGAGATATTCGATATTATTCTCCAGGTAGATTGAATCATAACAAAATCTCCAAGTCATATTCGTACAACCGGTCATAAATCGTTCAGTGAAGTTTGTTGCGGACAGACAACTGAGGTTTTAGGTCATTTGTTTCATTGTTCACACGGAGAGTTCACTCTTGATCAAGAGGCTAGCTAGTCTCTTGTGTTTCGTATCCAATCAAATGAGATTTAAATCTCAATGCGTTTTGTGTTCACTTTAAATACGCCTTTAAAATCTACTTATTTACAACTGCTCCCGGACGCGAACAATCGAACTTCATTTAAAAAAAATTTATTTCACGAAATGACATTCAATTTTCAATTTCCTTCTTTTGTTTTAGAGTGCGAATAGTTGTTTTCGCTACCAAGAACAGGGGAAGCTTCAAACGAGTTGATGCACTAACCATGTGTCAACCATTCTAGTTGATGCTTTTATGAATTGTACAAACGATATATTGTTTGAGTATTGACAATTATTTTTTGAAACGACAAATTAGATCTTTTATTGGAGGAATTTAATAAAGTCGACCAAATTTACTGTTCGATTGGGGATTCAAAACTGAAAACCTATTGATTTTTCTCAACGTTCATGTTACTCCAGGTGGTTGGATCAATCAGTTCAACGACCAGTGTTCAGTAAACCGACGTGATCGGCAGAGTATCTACCTTTTTAAAGGCTTCGGAAATACTGAGAATAAAAGAGATGAGATGTTGTCACACATCATATGAACCATCGGAAACCCGGGATTCCTTATTCGTTTTCATTGCAAGAAGAACGTGAAATCCGCAAAGCCGATAGTCATGGCTTTCAAAGTTACTGTAATCATTCCTACAATACCAAGGGAACCAATTTAGGCAATTAAAAGCACAGTGGATCAAATTCATTTTTTTCTATACAGTGGCTCCAAGACTCTCCTACAATAACATTTTAATTATAGCATCACTGTGTTTTCTACCGTTGAATGTACGTCTTGCCTTGCTGTTGCAAGTTGTATACCTCGGTAGAACTGACATAGAATGACAGAACACATATCCAACGATCTACTAAAGCTATGACTGAACTTATCCCACAGAACGTGAACCTGACACGGGATCCGACATCAGTCATCATTTGGCGCTTTATTAAACGTGCCAATAAGCTAACCTAGGCAAAGCGTTCTCTTCCAGCTCGATTCACGTTGCTTGCGGATATTGGAGGCCGTATCGATCGCTAATCTTAATTAAACCCATCCTATGCACCCAACGCGCTTCGCATTACTCTTCAACAAACCTTCAATGTAAAGAATAGTCTGCGATTCCCTATTAAGCTATAACCACCATAAATATTTGGCAGTTTATCCCGTTTTCAATTGTCATAGAAGTGTTATCCGTCTACACCGATGAAAGTAAACAAAAGGATTGATTCTCACAAAACGATATGCTCCAAACGTGCACGGACACTCGAGTTTTTCATCCAGCCTCTATGGTCAGAAAAATGTATAGGTCACGTTTTGCACCGTGGTCACCGAAGCAATGAGACATCAAAAAAGACGAAAACAACATACGGTTGGATTTTCATATGAGTTGCCTTTAAGGATGGATTCAAATAGGATGTGGCAAAATTATGGGACAGTGCGCTGCCAATGTCGTTTTTCACCTCGGCTGAGTATTAGAGCAAATCCCTTTGCTCCAGAACGTCTGTGTCCTCTGTCTGTACATTGGTGACTATCGATTTGCAAACTACAGTTTGAAAACTTTTCCCTTTGTTTTAAATAAAGCCTTTGGTTCCGCAAGGGCACAGCAGCTCTTAACATATCGATATGCTCGCAATGCCCGCCATCCTCAGATGACCTTAGATAGGTTGCAATCAGGACTACAAGTGGTAAACTTCCAAAGGTTAATTCTTCAATAATGAGATCACGCCTGTGAGATGCACAGCTTGTGCACCACATCATTATAATGCTGTGGGGATAATATTCACTCTATCTTCTTTGTGATAAACGTTCAAATACCCGATGTTTCACATTGCTCATTGTTCAACGTTAAGATCTGACTTATAAAAGCTGCGATAATATCGCTCCAGGCGGCTATTTATGTTTTTTTTTCAATATGTTGCCTATACAGTACGGTTTATTCTATCTTAACATCATCCCAATAAAGGATATATATATTTATTACCTAATCCATCGAAGGTAAACATGTTGTCCCACCTAAATACCACCTCAAAATGTACCTTTACTGAGAAATTACTGAAGGTACAAATCCATGCTTTGCTTTAGGATGTGAATCAGATAAGTAAAATCTGTATTCTTAAGCTCGAAACACTCGGGTATTCACATGCATTAATATAGTTCCAAGAACTGGTCGTCCAGATAGGCCAACATTCTCATATTATCGTAAGCGCAAATATACTAATACGATTACCTTCAACTTCCGCATTCAGGACAAGTCGCGTCCTCTCGTCACTTTTGAAAAACAAGCAGAACCAACAAACTGAAGCGTAATGGACAGCGTTATTAGACGAGAAGACCTCAAATACCTGTGGATATACTGAAAATGAATTACTGCTAACTATAGACCGTCACCTGACCAAACTTAGCTAAGGCCTTCGAAATATCAGCAAACAAAGCAACCATTTTGGAATCTTCATGTCGTTGTGGTATAAATTTTGTAGCATTTTGTTCTGTCAAACTCCCATATATAAAGGTATGCTAAATTTCCCCGCAAAGGTAGTACTTGTGATAATGAATATCTTTGGGTTTTGCTGCATCAAAACATGAATACTGTGCATATCTGGTTATGGAAATGAAACTGAAAAGATCGACTGTCCCAATAATTTAGGTTGACGCCCGGTCAGATGTGTGACGGGATATCAGCGTGTACCAGTAGACTGGCGACAAACCATTGCAATGTGATGGTCTCGTGTAAATTTGCCCAAGTGACTGGCTGAAGTGTTGTTAGTAAATCACTGTGTTCCGCGAGCAGAATATCGCAGGGTTCGTAAATTTACTCAAGACCAGTATATTTACACAATGTGGTTTTCAAGTTCAAAAGCTTTCTCATTCTTTTTATTTCCCCGATTATCAGTTCGAACCAGACACAGATTCGATTGCGAACGCAGATATCTCTCCAAATCTGATGTACGACAAAACGAATGAAATCTTACGTCCACAATCTAATGGACCTTCAAGATCCCGTGAGCTACCTTTCCTATACAATGGTCATTCTGTGGATAATTTTCCACCTCAGAATGAGGCCCACATCCAAGCAGTATTTCGTTCTGGCTATGAACACCGACTACAGTTGGACTTGATGAACCGTCTGAACTACACCCCGTCCTCCTCGTTTGACATCTATCTACCCCATCCCTCTCAACCGGATAGGGAAAACTCCCCAATGTCGAGCGCATCCAGCGAAATCAGTGACAATGATGAACCCAGCAGTATGGACGAGCGATCGAAGAGCGGTGAGTGTTCAGTGGGTACACCGGTCACTGCCAGTTCAACCACCGCCAGTTCGATTAACAACACGTCAACCGCGATGGCTGTGGCTGCAGTGGCTGCGGCTGCAGCTGTTGTGGCCTGTGCGAAACAGAAGCGCCACCGGACCCGTTTCACCCCGATCCAACTGACGGAATTGGAACGGGCATTCTCCAAGACACACTATCCAGACATTTTCATGCGTGAAGAATTGGCCTTACGCATTGGGTTGACCGAGTCCCGAGTACAGGTGAGGAATCCGGACTACGGTTGGTCATTTGGGGGCATAAGCATGGTTGAGTTTAAAGCAAACTTCTGTTTTACATAAGTTGTAATTTTGAAAACACAGCGATGTCGGCACTGGTGAAAATAAGCAGACGTTTCGGTTACCGTCGTTAACCTTTATCAAGGCGATTTTACAATCACATGACACATTGATTTTTCGATACACTCCGAACGTCGTTCGGATCTGACACTGTGAAAACTTCTGTTCTACAAAATTCAATTTATCAAGGAAATTGTTTAATCTACCTATTTCGTATTTGCTTTATTAAACAAATAGAATTGGAATTGAATAGGCTTTCTTTAAAGGGAGAATGGGCATCCCAAGGTAAATAGACTGGTTTTATTGTGCAGACCAAAGATTATGAGCTACGTATTGTCAACAATAATGATTTGTTGATATTATTGTGCGTCTTATTTGTTCAGTCATAACTCTTCAATTCATAGATTCACCTAGTCAAATACCATCAGGGTATTCCTATCTTTCACAGGCTTGAACTGCATAGTCAAGAGCCAATGTGCAGTGAATCTATAATCTTTCTATGCACTGTACCTTGTACAATCAAGGTTTTCTCGAGGGTACATGAACAAATACGAGAAAACGACACAATCCCTGATTGGGGAACCGAATCCATTAGTACACAATCTTCTCTCCACACCAGTGAACAGATCATATGAGTGGGTGTTTGTGTTCGCAGTAAGAGCATCATGAAGTTACGTCAGAATGAAGATCGATCCCTAGAGTGAGGGGTTTTCTGGATTGTAGGGAAGAAACGTTTTCAACGTAATTGGTAACGCAGTATTCCAGGCGTATACCGGGGATTACTCATTGGCCATTCCACTTTTGTCCAAGACTGTTCAATCCAGAGTGATACGTTGAATCTGTTCGACAATATCGATCCTTAGCCAGATCACTCCTGAAGAGGTTTACCTACTCCCATCCAATGGCAAATGTGACCTCAACTCAGTGTTCAAACCCTGAAGTGCATCTGATTCAATCGAACCTCCTTTTGCTCTCTACACGACTGACCCACGTCTCTCACTTTCCCTCTGTCTCTCGATGATCGACTGGGCCTCAGAGAGGATACAGATATGCTGCATTCTGGCAAAAGATATGCATCAGACCTGAATGTTCTGTTGTCTTGTGGGATACTCAAAAAATCAGCACCATAATCGATTGAAAGTAATCAAATACATTTATAGGTCCTCCCGTAGCTAAAGATAGCAATACTTCAATTAAAAGAGGAATTGTTCATGCTTGCTTTCTTCTTTGAGTACATCCCACCAACGTAACGATGCTTGGGTTGGTAAAGCCCATTGCCCCGAGAGCACAGTTGTTCAAATTCTAGTTCTCGACCAAGTATCAAGCACGCTTTGTACTCCGGCATTTGTGTCAGCTCAAAACACATTTTTCAACGTTGGTTGTGGTTTTTTGTATACAGATATGATCCAGTAAAACATCAATACGATTCGTCACACAGTAAATATTTGACTAGTAACTAAACACTAAACTGACTCAAACTGACTCGCTCTTTGCAACCTATTATTCACAAGATTGGTTTACAGCATACGTGAATTGTGATTCCCCTGAAACATAGAGGGGCTTAAATTACTGTGAACCCAATTGAACAAGCAGCAGTAAGTTCTGTCTTGTCAACAATGAGCACCAAACCACCGCCCACTTATCCCCGTTGTTTGATAGGGTTATGCTCTGTGATGTGCACTGTTTATCAACAGTAATCTACTATGAATAAGAACCGAACTGTATTCCAGATTATTTCGAATAGAAAGGAAAAATAATCATTGCGTCTAAATGCGTTTGTTTAGTTATGTACATCACGCGAACTCAGTCGAACGAATTTGTTAACCACAAATCTTCCAACGTGATACACTTAGTGGTGTTGATATGTGCACAGTTCAGCAAATGATCATCCCCTAAGCAAAGAAGTATTCACCATGGGTGGACAGTACCAACCCTTCGGAGACCTTAGTCGTTCGCACCCCCAGAACACTGCACCTGGCCGTGAAGTTGCCCGGTCACGCAAACCCCGATATCCGTCAATCTCAAATGGCCTGGGTAGGAAAGACAGCGAGAAAACCCGGTGACAAATCCCTGGTTGGACGAGGCACGAACAGTTAGTTGCTGGACATGAACCGTAATCGCAGTGCGCACCCGCTCTTGTGAGGGATGCCTGTTCGCGCCGTCTGAGTGATTATCACCTGCGTTTTCATACCAACCAATTTACACACGATTAATCCAGTGTCTAATTACTATTTGGTCCATTGGTATAAAGATGTATATCAATCATTGCCAAACTGAACATACCTCCGGATCATCTCTATCCTGTGTGAAAAGTAACAATTTTTATGTTTACAAAACATACAATCAGTGTGAAAGACTTCAACATAACCCGTATCTTTCAAGTAGCATTGAGAGCGTTTAAGGAAAGATTCAAATACGGCAGACTAGGTTCAGCATCAACCGCCCTCATCGGAGACACAACTCCCGCTGTTCTGGGTTCGATTTTCACTAGTACTACGCTTCGTTTCGGATAGGGGTTGTAACAGTCGCATTATACTTGGCAATTTTTCATTCAATGTATTCCCGTGTGGAACACTTCTTGCAACAGTGATGATCGTCAATATTCTTTGTTCTTTTGCATTAGACAGTAATGGTTTTTCCGGTTCAACTATAGATTAGAAATGAACACCAAGGGGCGCACACATGATGTTGATACTGATTGAATGTCTCGCATGCATTCAGGTTTCTCATCTAGGCTTGAACATGTTCCCGACTTAAAACGACTTGGCTTGTTTGAAATTTACCTCAAGTAATGGAGAGTAATGATGTGGGATGTGTATTTCAATCGCTTTTGACTGACTGGGTTTGTGCCAACAGTTGATTGGCTAGTTATCAGGATCACATCTGAAACGACGACGACGACGACGACGACGACGACAACAACAACAACAACAACAACAACAACAACAACAACAACAACAACAACAACAACAACACGCAAATCGGTAGTTTTGATTAGCCCCCATCTGATCTGATCTGATCGGTTCAGTAGTCACGCATTCTCCATGCCGAGTTGTCCGGAATTTAAGTTCTGGACAAGCGGCCCAATGGACAGTCACTACTGATGTGCTCTGAAAATAGCAAAACCTCATATGTGGTACTTCCCCTGCTGCGCTTGGATGAACTGAATATTTTGAAAGAAAATGAATTCTATTAAAACCGACACGAATACTTATGTTATATCACCACGCACGGGTAGTTGAATTTGTGTGTGTGTTGACCTGAAAAAACATAATGCATGCTTGAGCTCTCGCAGTCACAAGGTCGGATAAATAATCCATGTCATTGTTCTCAATGCATCATCAACTAGCCAAATATGGCATTGGTTTGTGATACTCACCAATTCGATGTAACATTCACACCATGCAATGATAAATCTACACTTCTGAACACACTATTGGTGGGTAGATGGGGGGGGGTGAGAGATAGTTTTATCGGTTTTACTGACTCGTTATATTTTGTGACACAAAATAGTGCTGTATTTGCTTAACTAATGTACCGCCGCCACCATCAGCCTGTCCCTCAATTGGAAACCGGTTGTAATTTGAGCACCTGCTTCGTTAGAATTTACCTTTCCGTTATGACACTATCTTTTGCCTAGACTGATTTGTTGTGCACTCAATACGGAGAATGAAAAATAATAGGCATATTGGTTTTATTATCTCTGATTTGCATTTATGGCTGTTTCTGGATTTCGAGGAAGTCTAAGCAATGCTTTTCCACAGATTTTGTTTATACGGTGAATGTTGTCGTTTGCAGAGGAAACAAATTATTAACTGAAAAGCTGGGCAGCACTGTACAGCTGTTTCGTCCTGGTTGGGTCACATAAGCGCTGGAAATCCACCGACCCACCTGGGAATCCAACCCTGGACCCACAGGAACCATGAATACCCATAGGTGGATCACAGGTACACTACTCACTGTTGAATAGAATCGAATCTTCCATTACTTTCAGGGATTTTTTTATTGTCCTTAAAATTTTACTTTCATGCCTAATTTTAAATAAAGTAGGGAACATCCTAACACATGTATACTTATTTTCGTTGTCAAGTAATTGCCATATTATTGATATTCTTCCACTTCTCGTTAAAACCATTTCTATCAGTCAATGCAAAAATTCCACCAGGATATGTAATCGGGAAAGTGCAGACCAGCTAAGTGGTTGATTGATTGATTGATTGACTGATTGATTGAAAAGAAAAACGCAAGGAACTAGCCGGAATTTGTCCGATTCNCCGATTCCAGCTACTTTGAACGCACACAGACAGGCATAGAGACTGGTAAGCAGACGCGTTGAGACAGACGGGTGCGTGCACGCAAACCTCAGAGAAACATGAACTTGAGTTCGCGCTTTTTGCTGAAATCAACTATGCATTTTGTTTTATGGGGCTAACCATCCTTAGCACAGTCTTTGCATGCATTTATATACGTGTCTACGAACAGGAGGATATAGTTTTGTCTTACCTAACGGGCGGGCCACGAGGCACCTAATCCCATAGGTGACAATCTCTTCCTAAAACCCGACCTGACATACTTCAATCTACTTTCCGTCCTGCCACTGTGACAAGCTTTTTGCTCTTCATCTGATCAGAAATGCCGTTACTTCACTTAAACTGTCATGAGGATTTACTCTGTTTCTCTCTCTGTTGTGTGCCTGTCTATTCATCAGCTTGTCTGTTTGCATATCCATCTTCTTCACCTCTGGGTTACCCTGCGTTTGATCGCTGTTCAAGCCATAGATTTGTGTACACGTCCCGGTGAGCTTACCCAATCATTCGTTCGTTCACCTGAGCGGGGAGAGGAGGACGCTAGCACGCGTTGTCTAGTCCGCCCCGATTCAACGGGCGCGGGCAAACACATGCACGGGAGTGCGCGCACGTACGCCCTATTCATAATCAACCTTCTGCTGAATTCGAATCTCATCTGGTTTGGAGAGGCAAAGGGAGGGAGGTGGGAACAGAGGATGTGTATGGGCTAGAAAGTGGTTTAGGTCAAAATCACTTGGCCTAATGGATTATCGGCTGATCGGAGAGCTGCGGAACGCAATATAATTGCTTACTATCCTGTTTATTTTAATCAACTGTAAAATAAACTGTAAACAACTTTTACTGCCTGGTACGTTGACTGTTATGGGTATGAAATAATAGCATAGGATTCCGAACTTCGTTCAAATGGCCTGTGCAACAGAGTCCCCTGTTGAGAAAATCGGAGTAGAGTTAGTAAGTGAATGGGAAATAGTCATCGCACTTTCTCAAACGCCCTCATCCGCTGACGTAATATCAACCCTGAGAAAAGTTTTAATGAACTATTTCCACACTTCAGTAGAGATTCGAGTACCTTGCTTTGGAACCATAACCTGTTAGTAAAAAAGAGGAGCCTCAATTTACCTTAAAAGACGCGTCCAAATCTGTTTAAACACC